TCATTTGTTTTCTTTCCTTTCCTGACCAGGCTACTTGTCACTTAGAAACAGGCTTTTGGGGACTCATCTGTAACACAACAGAAGTTCAGCGCACATAAACCACTTTCAAAATGGCTGAAACTGGCTTAAGATAAAGTTGGATGGAGGTAGCATCAGACTTAACTGATTTGGCTTAAATCAATGTATTGACTTCTGTCCCAGATCCCCTCCAGATTCAAGTTAACCTACCGTCCCCGATCATCCTGGGATGTTTTGTACCTCCCCTCGCCAGATGGGCAGGCTAGCCTTGGCCCAAGGTGTCTGCTACAGCCAAGCAGGGATGCATGCTCTAGCGTCCCATGGCCATGTGGCTGCATTTCCGGAATCAAGTGAGTGTCTGCTCACTTGCTTATTAGCTCAATCTACACAATTTAGACTAACCTGCGAAGATTTAATCAAGTCAGCCTCAGGCTTTTTGATTGTTTTACTTAGCCAAGAAGCCCAGTTCCCTCAGCTTCTCCGTATAAGTCATGTGCTTTAGCTCCCTTACCATATTTGTTGCCTTTCACTGGACTCTCTCCAATTTGGCCACATCCTTTCTGTAGTGGGGGCCCCCAAAACTTGGCACAGTGCTCCAGATGTGGCCTCACCAGTGTCGAACAGAGGGGAATAATCCCTTCCCTTGATCTGCAGCCAACACTCTGATGCTGTTAGCCTTCTTCTTAACAAGGGCGCACTCTTGTCTCGTATTCAATTTATTGCCCACTGTAACCCCCAGGTCCTTTTCTGCAGAGCTGCTGCCCAGCTAGTCAGTCCTCAGCCAGTTGTGATGCATGGGATTGTTCCATCCTAAGTGCAGGACTTTGCACTTGTCCTTGTTGAACTTCATGAGATTTCTTTTGGTCCAATCCTCCAATTTGTCAAGGTCTCTCTGAATCCTAGCCCTACCCTTCTACGTATCTACTACTCCCCCCAGCTTGAGGTCATCAGCAAACTTTCTGAGGGTGTGCTGCATCCCATATTTCAGGTCACTGATGAAGATATTGAACAATGCCTGCCTCAGGACTGACCCCTGGAGCACTCCACTTGAGATTAGCTGCCAACAAGGGAGAGAGCCATTGACTACTACCCTCTGATCCAGCCAGTTTTCTATCCACCTTACAGACTATTCATCCAACCTGCGTTTCCTTAGCTTGCTTGCAAGAATGTTATGGGAAATTGTATCAAAAGCCTTGCTAAAGTCATGGTGTATCACGTCCGCTGGTTTCCTGCATCCATAGATCCAGTTATGTCATCATGGAAGGCAATCAGGTTGGTCATCCATGACCTACCCTTGGTGAATGCATGCTGACTGTTCTTAATCACCTTCTTCTCCAACAGCTTAGAAATGGATTCCTTGAAGATCTGCTCCATGATTTTTCCAGGGAATGAGGTGAGGCTGGCTGGTTTGTAGTCCCCTGGATCCTCCTTTATTTCTTTTTAAAGATGGGCGCTATGTTTGCCCTTTTCCAATCATCTGGGGCCTCTCCTGTTCACCACAACTTTTCAAGGATAATGGCCCGCAGCTCTGCAATTACATCAGCCAACTACCTTAGTACCCTCGTGTGCATCCCATCCAGCCCCATGAGCTTGTACACATCCAGCTTTTCTAAATAGTCCCGAACCTGTTCTTTCTGTTGGCTGCTCACCTCCTCCTCAAACTGCTGCCTAGTGCAGTAGTCTGAGAGCTGACCTCTCCTGTGAAGACTGAGATGAAAAGGGCATTGAGTACTTCAGCTTTATCTGCATTGTCTGTCACTAGGTCACCTCCCCCACTTTCCCTGATCTCCCTCTTGTTGCTGATATACATGTAGAAACCCTTCTTGTTACCTTTCACATCCCTTGCTAACTGCAATTTCAATTGTGTGTTGGCTTTCCTGACTTCATCCCAGCATGCCTAAGCAATACTCATATACTCCCTTTTCAATCCTTTAGCTTTCCTCCTGGCTCTTCTCTGAACCCTCTCCACTTCCACAACACCCTTCTTGAAGTATACACATCAAAACTGTATACAGGGTTTTGGTAGTGATTCCAGCTGTGTTGCATACAGAGGTAATGTGACTTCTGCTTACTTTAGAATTTCTTTGCTTATGCTTCAAAGGAGACATTAGCTCCTGGCTTGTCACAGTGACACTGACTGGATGTTGTGCTGATTATCAACCATGGCGCCCACATCCCTTCCAGAGTTGCTGGTCCCCAGGGTAAGATTTACTGGTATCAGCTGCAGATGACACAAAGACGGGAGGAATGGTATATCTTGAAGAGGGTAGGCTACTGATAGCAGAGCAGTCAGGAATGCCTGTCTATTGTGTGCCAATGGAAGCACATGTAAAGTCCAGCAAGTGCAACCAAATAGAGTAGATCATACGTAGATGGAAAAAAATCTCTTTCCTGGAAACCAGCAGCTCTGGAAACAACTTGGCCTGTCCATCTAGGGGAAGGGGATGAGGGCTACAAGCCCTGTGCTCCAGACCCTCAGTTGCCTATTTGTTTTTCTTAGGGCTTTGCCCCTTTTTGAGTGGCCAGTTAGAAGACTTTGATTAGATGACACTGCACAGGTACTAGGGGGTTAAATCAATCAAAATGTTCCTCCCAAGTTTTTATGGCAGTGAAATGTGACCTAATTAACTCCTTTTATCCCCCCAGTTCTTCTAGTCCCAGTCCTTGGGCTGCCAAAGCAAGTGCTGGGTGAGTGGAGTCAGCAAGTGGGATTGTGGTACTGCAGGTTTCTGAAGCTCTGAAATAGTCTGTGTGCTTAAGGGACTGAAAGAAAGGAGGCAGAGATGAGGAAGGCAGAGGTTTGCCTTGACACAGACCTCCCCCTACAAACAGTTAAAAGCTCTTCACCTGCCCTCTCTTTGGTAGGGAAAGGAGGGAGAGGGAGACTGGAATGGACTGCACCAGGGCCAGTCTGGGTGCACATACACCCTTGTGCAGATGAGTGGGAGTGTGTGGGCCAAATTATACCTATGATCTTCCCCACACCCTGATGCCACAGCTAGACATATGGATTCACACCCTGACATGGATTAGTGTGGACCCCCAGGTGGCCTAAACATACCTCACACCCACAGCTAGACATACTGACTTCCTTTACCCCTTACCCTGCACAGACTGAAGCAAGTTTTGGTAAAAAGATTTATGCACCAGTGTATGGTCTGACACGGACCTCCTGCACCTAGAGCTGGATACACTGATACTTTTCCTGGCACAGAACTACATCCTAGCTTTAGCTGGACATGCAGGCCTGCTCTGGCACAGGCCTCTCCCCACCCGCAGCCAGGCTTGGTGACAAGTACTGTACCACAGGCTTTCTCTATATACAATTAGGCATGCTGACATTTCTCCTGAGGCAGACATACCCTTCTGCCTACAGCTGAAATGGATTTTCCCCACCTGTAAGCGGAAACACCTACTCACCCTGACACAAACCTCCCACCACCCACAACTGGACACGCAGATGCTCACCCATACAAAGTACCCATACAAAGTACCTATTTCCACCCCCAGCCGGACACAGGCACTCCTTCTTCCACAAACTTCCCCCACCCACAGCTGGTTCACCGAGGGCCCTGCTACATGTTCCAGTTAAAACTGGCTAGAAACCAGCTATAGATTTATTACACGTTTTCAAGCACTAACTATAGCAGGTTGGCTTTTTTATATCTGGACAGTCATTTTTATCATGTGATAATTACTTTGCATGTATGGCTGGTCGAAATTGATTGCGTGATTAACTGGTTAATTGCGTGATGATTACTTTGCACTAATAGCCAGTCTATATTTATTGTGTGTTTAGCCAGCTTATTGTGTTATATATGTAACATGTAGCAGGGGCCTGAGGATAAACCCTGACACAGATGGTTTTCCCTTCCCCAACAGATATGCCGTCTGTCCTGCATACCCACAAACTGACAGAAGTCCTCTACCACTGCCTTCCTGTCATAGACCCACTGACAGAGACACTTGGACTGTCCTCTGCACACCCTCCTGCAGTCCCAATACCATACCCTTGTCAACAGTTCAGTACAACTACACACCAACTGAAGATCTCCAGGCACATACAGGACACTCTGCACATACTTTACTGCAGACACTTGATTGTACATATCTTACAACAGACATGGGCACGGATGCACATCCACACCCCTTGTGATAGACCCTTGCTCCTAGCTAGAGGAAGACCAAGTGTGAGAGGGGAAGTCCTTTGGGAAGTGGGTGGTGACTGGCAAAGCTGGGAGTGTAGATGCAGGAGAAATAGAGAAGGAAATGTGTCAGGAAGTTTCCTGCCATCTTTCTGGCAGTGTATGTGCTTTTTGCCTTCTAGTGGATTCAGAGAGACACAGCTTGCTCTGAGAACACATTTTCCTTCCTCCCAGCCTCCATTTGCTCACATTGCTGCTTCTGCCCACCTTTGACCCCCGACAGTTTCCACAGCGACTGCGCTAGGATAGAGCCTCCACTGCACTCTCCAGATAATGAGCAAATCAGCTGGTGTCCAAAGTACAATAACCGATCATTTCTGCGAGCTGCTTTCTTCCAAGCAAGCTAATTGAAAATGCATTGACACTATTATTACTAATTATAAGATAACAAGCATTTTGAAGTGGAGACTAGCAGGCAATAATAATGCTTAACACTTATGTGGTGCCTTAGTTCTTCAAAGCTCTTTGTGGACAAGCCCTATGCACGCACCCCCAAATCAGTTGAGCAAATGCAGGTGGGGAAACTGAGGCCCAGAGGGAGAAAATGCCATGTATGGTGAGTCAGGGCAGCATGGAGAAGAGAATGTGGGTGTCTTGGCTTCCTGTCCCCTACTACTGCAGGTAAAAAGAAATAACCATAAGAAAATCAGTGAGTTCAGACCAGAAGTTGGGCAAAACCAGTCTGCTTAATGGCAATCCCCTGGTTGAAGTGTTTATCATCTGCTCCCCATTCTTCTGTTCCCTTGCAGACACTCAAGTACAGGAGCCATCATGTGATACTTGCCAGTCTAAAGTTCATTTAAGGGCTGGAAAGGAAAGTGCAAGCAGCAGGCTGCAAAATGAAGAGTCTCTCTTTTCTGCTCCTTTCCTCACAGTTCCTCGGTAAGTAGCAACAGGGATCGTCTATGAGTGAGGGCAAAATGGCTTTCTCTGCTTCCAGCTTCAGGCAATAGCATGGAAGGGAGCTGCAGACTCAGTGGTTTGTGATGAATTTATAACACGACGGGAGAAACTAATTTTGAAATGGACAAAGAGCGAGATTGCGCTGTGATTTGCATATCATGTTCACTGTGGCTCTGTTGCTGGGGTGTCTCTGCTCTTTTTTAAAGCCTGTAGCAATCACCGAAGCAGCCATCTTATGTTGAACATGCATGTATCTTTTAATATTTGAAACCCATGATTCCTCTGCAGAAAGGGTGATTCCATAGTACAGTGGTGTTTATGCTTGTGCAAAAAGGGCCTTTCTGCCACAATGATGGCCACTCTGTTCAAGTCAGGGATTGCACAAGCTAAGGTTGCAATTGCTGGAGTAACTTGGCTGTATTGTACTACTTGGGACCAGATCCTCTAGAGCCCAATTCTGTTGAAGCCAAGCTAGGTTCTACTGATTTGCACAGGGTGGGGATAGAGGTATGGATGTACACTATGCACTATACATTATACAACATGTGTTAACCCCCAGAGAAGATTTGAAAGTAACACATACATGCAGTGGGACCAAGTTACACTTTCTGCTGGAGCCTGTATTTCTCATTTCCTGATATCGGGATTTAAAGTATGCAATACTCTTAGCGCATTAAGAAGTGCGCCTCTTATTTTCATGTAGTTTCCTAGCTTGTGTTCTTTATTAAAGAAAAAGATGGGCGACCTGTGTCTAAGTTGAGGCTCCAATTCAGCAAGATCCTTACTCGCATGCCTTACATTAAGCATGTAAGTATTCTCCTTTATAGCAGGGCCCCTTCACACAACCCTGGAAGTGACAAGGCTCTTTAAAGAGGGCATAAAGATTTTCCCAGCTTAAGGGCCTTGGATGCACCAGAATGATGATAAAGGGCCTTATTGAAACCAATCCAAGTCCAATTTTCAATGTTTCAACAAGGTGAAAGTCAAGTATGTCTAAGTTCCTTGCTGAATCGAGACTTTGAAGCCCTCGTCAGAGAGCAGGGCCATGTTGGGATGAAAATTCCTGCTTTTCTGAAGAGGGATGATGTCTCAGCATGGCTCCTGCTGTCAGGTGACTAGGCACCGACTGTCTGGGCTCATGCGGCACCAGCAGATCTGGTGGCAGGTACATGTCCAAAAACAGAATCTTTTTTTAAAGAAACAGAAGTGTGAAATTTATAGGAAGAAGCAGCCATTATGTACAGAGCCTACAACCAGCTCCATTTAAATCCCTAATAAAAAAGGACTGATGTGTCAAGATGTGTAGCCAGTAAGTTGATGGTACACTTACCCCAGAGACTCCCTCTCTGGACTGTCCCCTCTGGTGTTTCACTCTGATTAACTGACACCTGATAATGCTGTATCTGCCTTGGCTGTGTTATCATTTTTTGCTCATGTTAAAAATGTGCCTTTTTTACCCCCTTTGTCTGGATGCAGCCAGATGCAATGAATTGGAGAACTGCTGGCTGAGGTAGGCAGTGAGAAGGTGCAGCTCTGTTATAAAGGGGATTATTAGGTGCTGATAAGAGCTCAGCAGACCTGACTTAGCATGCACAATATGTCTTCTCCCCATAATTTATAGCATTCATGTTTAACACATGCACCCCTCAACTGTCACTCAGTGGCAGAATCCACTTCAGCCTTTAGTGGAGGAGAGGAATGATATTTTAACTGTGAAGATAATGCATTTTGTTTTTTCTTTCCTGTAGCTCACGTGACTGAAGATATTTTACTCAGGCTGCTGAGTAACATTCATCTTCAGAAAGTTTCATTTCCCAAGACCAAGCCTGGGAAATGTCAGCCCCAACAGTAAATATTTTAGAAAATACTGTTCAAGAATAGAGGGTTAGAATGGAAACTATTTTGCAACCTTAACTATGTCAGATATTCCCATGGATTCATGCTAGCTACTGGAGTCAGGTTAAAAAGTATGGTTATGGGTTCAGGAAGGAGGGGGATACAGTTGTGAATTTAAACTATCTCTTCTCAACTCAGTCTTTCAGTTAAGAAAAGACAGAGAGAGGGGGACCTAGGCATGCTGCTACTCTAATGCCCATTCTGGCTGACTCGTTCAGGTACACTGATGGTCCATCGGAGCCATTTTTTGCAGTCTGGTGCCTGTCTACAACAGAGAAATTTAGGGGAAGGGCTGAAATGAGGGCTGGTAAAAATCTCAATAATGCACCAGCCCATATATAGGATCAGACTGTGTGAGATAACGCCCGCCCACCCTTAGAAGAGAAGACTGACTCAATGCTATATATACCTGTGTATACTGTATACGCCCATACGTAATGTGAAAAATACATCGGTCTTTTCTGCACATCCTGGCCCTTCACTTTCCTCACTGGGGAGAAGGGATCATCTTCATGTTTCATACAGTGCCTTGTACATTGGGGCTCTGATCCAAATACAAATAGATCAGTGGTTCCCAAATGCTTTTTGGACCAGCAGACCACTGGCCTCCCTCAGAACTTCTCCTGGTCCACCATGTACCTTAATGATCACATGTTTGATTGAAAGCATCATGAGGGTGCCTGAGGCCACTTACTCAGGCTCTGTGGACCATCTGTGCTTTGCAAGGCACTCTGAAATCTGTAATCATTAATCTTAACACACACACATGCACGTAGTAGTGCATCATTCTTGTTTGCCATATACAAACCTTAATTCCCTTGAACATGTGCATTCTGAATTCCTCCCTAATGCATCAGGGAACTTTCTGACAACTTGATATAAATCACATCACTGAAAACATCCCTTTAGATCAGGGCTGGGCAAAATATGGCCTGTGGGCCAAATCTGGCCTGCCAAGAGATTTTATCTGGCCTTGGGCAGGTCCCTTGGCCCTCAGTGTCATGTGCAGCTG